GACTGTCCTGGCTCCTCCTTCTCTGTCAGGCAGCTGGCATCAGTAAGCTTGTGTACCTGCAGCTCTGCAGAGCTGTGATTCTTTGATTCATGGTTGGTGAATGAGTATAACTCCTATAGGTGAGTAGGAAAGGTAGTAAGGTGCTATTTACAGAGGTGCCATAGAACCAGGCCCATGCCAGTCTTCTCTGGGAATCCTGGGCCTTAGTAACCTCACCTGCAGCTCTTAGGACAGTCTCATAACCTGCACCGGAGTGCCTTTAGTTTTCCTGACAGGCATTCCTTAGTATAGCTATGCCACTGAAACTGTAAACCCTACAAAGAGTCGTCTATATCCACAGAGCCCTGTCCCCGGCTGAGTGCCCAGAAAGAATGTCACAAGAATTGGATTATTCTCACCCTTAGTTCCATGGTAGAAGTTACAGGGGTATGTTTCAGATACCCTAGGAGGGTTGTTGGTCATGAGGGTGTGTGTGTGTGTGTGTGTGTGTGTGTGTGTGTGTTGATTTCTTCACATTCTTTTAGCAGAGGGTATTGAACATGTCCTCATATAGAAGAAAATAATGGAATGACTCCCTAGGAGAAGTGCTTTCTAAGTCCCAGGTCTCTACCAGAGAGCTGTCTACCCTAGAACCCACATCACTGAGCATTTCCATTGTCCAAGAGGTATCATGGCATCTGTATGTCCCACCAATGTGACAGCTGTCTTCATGGCACCAGGATGCATCCTACATATGTGACACGTCCTTGTGGCCAGTGATATAAGGCTAGAGGCCTTTAGCCACATGTGGAGTGGATACATGTTTTAGGACATAAGATTGAAAGCTAGTAAGATAATGGTGGTAGCCTCTGCTGGGCCCAGAGCTGAGGTCAGGAGATGTCAGAATCCCAGGACTGGAACTACAGTGAGTGAACTAGAGTCATCAGCTGTTCCAAGGACAGGTAATCCTATTCAAGCTGTAGATGTCTTTCCAAGGGTGCTATTCCCATTCATGTTTGTAAAAAATATTTGCTACCAATGAGGAATTGGAAGCATAGTGAGGAACTCAGGGCAGCAGCCACAGCTCTTGTGGTTCTTTGTATGTATGCCACGCATCTCCTGATTTCCTGGTCTTTGACCCATGTGGTCTGCAGCTCTCTCACACACATCAGCGGTCTCAGCCATGGCCTGGCCTGGTGAGATACACTCTCCTTCTGGACCTTTTGCATCTGCAGGATTTGCTCCTCCCTGAGCCATGGGCTCTGATGTCCCCAGCATTCCACATGCCACTACTTCCTGGCCTCTTGTCTGCATCCTGGGCCACAGTCCTATAGCCCAGCATTGACATCCCTTTTGGTAACTAACGCTCACCAACTTAATGAAACAGATGTGGTGAACAAAGTCTGGACAGCTGTGTGTTTCCTGGTTGTGTGCTCTACGTTGGTTTACTTTGCATGCATGTTCTTCGAGTTCCATAGGGCAGTGATGGAGACAAAGGTCTTGCTCTTGCTGAACTCAGTAAATAATGTCATGCTTCCCATCATATACCCAGTGTTTTAGTTCTAAATCCAGTATGCACATCCACAACCACCAATTTTCTATATCTCATTTCTGATATATGTATCTTGAAAACTATGTTTACACATATAACGAAAAGGCCCGATAATCAAAAGCAATAAGCAGTTCTTCTGACCCAGAAAAGAACAATGTGAGGTTGTCATCACAGTTACAGATGTGCAAGCCCTGAGGACACACAGGGCCCTGGACAGTTAGTCTGTCCAGTGATTGAATATGCAGTACCACACATCTCTTTACTCAACTGCCTAATTTCCTGCTACCAGCCAGGCTGGAAAGTTGCAAGAGTTGGCTTCTATCCTCCACCTACATGGCCTCACTAAACTTGACACATAGGGAGTGTTGAGTGGTGTGTGTGTTATCTAGCTTTAGACCAGAGAAGCCCATTTACCCTGTTGTTCTGGTTACTTGAAAACAGAAACATGGCGCTGGTCACATTAGTTAAAGCCTAAAAACTACGTAGACATTGTGCCCTGGTTTGAGACTTGGGACTTTGAAGGACAGCTCTGCTTTATTGGGGTGGGTTATAATAGAAACATGATCACAGTCGTGATTGTGAAGGTTGGACTGGGAGGAGTTCTAGGGTCCTGAGGGAAAAAAAGGCCAATTTGAGTGGCCTGGGTGCTGGGTTGATGTCAGGTTGAATGGCTAAAGGTGAGTCTAGAAGCAGCTAGGGGTAGTATGTGAGCAAAGGACAGTGCTCCATTGGCACCTTGCCCATGGGAAGAAAGTCCACAGGCCACCTGCTGCTGCTGCTGCTGCTGCTGCTGCTGCTGCTGCTGCTGCTGCTGCTGCTGCTCCTCCTCCTCCTCCTCCTGCTGCTGCTCCTCCTCTTCCTCCTCCTCCTCCTGCTGCTCCTCCTCTTCCTCCTCCTCCTCCTGCTGCTCCTCCTCTTCCTCCTCTTCCTCCTGCTGCTGCTGCTGCTCCTCCTCTTCCTCCTCCTCCTCCTGCTGCTCCTCCTCCTCCTCCTCCTCCTCCTCCTGCTGCTCCTCCTCTTCCTCCTCCTCCTCCTCCTCCTCCTGCTGCTCCTCCTCCTCCTCCTCCTCTTCCTCCTGCTGCTGCTGCTGCTCCTCCTCCTCCTCCTCCTCCTGCTGCTGCTGCTCCTCTTCCTCCTCCTCCTCCTCCTCCTCCTGCTGCTCCTCCTCCTCCTCCTCCTCCTGCTGCTGCTGCTGCTCCTCCTCCTCCTCCTCCTCCTGCTGCTCCTCCTCCTCCTCCTCCTCCTCCTCCTGCTGCTGCTCCTCCTCCTCCTCCTCCTGCTGCTGCTGCTGCTCCTCCTCCTCCTCCTCCTCCTGCTGCTCCTCTTCCTCCTCCTCCTCCTCCTGCTGCTGCTGCTGCTCCTCCTCCTCCTCCTCCTCCTGCTGCTCCTCTTCCTCCTCCTCCTCCTCCTCCTGCTGCTGCTCCTCCTCCTCCTCCTCTTCCTGCTGCTCCTCCTCCTCCTCCTGCTGCTGCTGCTGCTCCTCCTCCTCCTCCTCCTCCTGCTGCTCCTCCTCCTCCTCCTGCTGCTCCTCCTGCTGCTGCTGCTGCTCCTCCTCCTCCTCCTGCTGCTCCTCCTGCTGCTCCTCCTCCTCCTCCTCCTCCTCCTCCTCCTCCTGCTGCTGCTGCTGCTCCTCCTCCTCCTCCTGCTGCTCCTCCTGCTGCTCCTCCTCCTCCTCCTCCTCCTGCTGCTGCTGCTGCTCCTCCTCCTCCTCCTCCTCCTCCTGCTGCTGCTGCTGCTCCTCCTCCTCCTCCTGCTGCTCCTCCTGCTGCTCCTCCTCCTCCTCCTCTTCCTGCTCCTGCTGCTCCTCCTCCTCCTCCTCCTCCTGCTGCTCCTCCTCCTCCTCCTGCTGCTCCTCCTCCTCCTCCTGCTGCTCCTCCTCCTCCTCCTGCTGCTCCTCCTCCTCCTCCTCCTGCTCCTGCTGCTGCTGCTCCTCTTCCTCCTCCTCCTCCTGCTGCTCCTCCTCCTCCTCTTCCTCCTCCTCCTCCTCCTCCTGCTGCTCCTCCTCCTCCTCCTCTTCCTCCTCCTCCTCCTCCTCCTCCTGCTGCTCCTGCTCCTCCTCCTCTTCCTCCTCCTCCTCCTGCTCCTGCTGCTGCTGCATTAGTGTTCTTTGGTGTTGTGTGCAACATCAACTTTTACACATTTGGTCCTTAATTGGAATTTTTGTTGTTGTTGTTTTAAAGACCAGGCAATCTACTTTTTCTGCGAAATTACTGAGTTGTGTTTTTGTTTGGGCCAGCACATTTTTGTAGTGGGTTTTTTTCCTGCCTTAAATATTTTTGTATTTCTTCAATATATGAAGTGGAAAGTTGTTACTATTTCAAGATTAGAAAAAAATAGACAAAATTCTTCATGTTAAAAAAGACTCAAAATGTTTTATGTTCAAAATGTTAGTGTTCAGTTTTGGCATAGTTGACACATTTTCAAAGTCTGGACCTAACTATACATGTGGGCCCTGTGGAAGCTGAGGCCTCAGGGCCACTTCAGGGACTGCAGCCTGGCAGATGGGGTGGGGTACATCTCAGAGATAGTCAACATCAAAGTCTGGGGCCCAACCTAGCCACCCTGTGACCAAATGGCTACCAGAGTTGAAGTTTTGACCTTTCCCTTGCTATTATTCAGCCCAGCTGGTGAGGGAAAACGTGTTAAATTCCATTAAGGAGCTGTAAACTAGGTGAGATTCTTCACTTTGCCCGTTCTCATGGTGACTGCACACTAGGAGACTCCAGGATGACAGGGTGGACACCTGTCAGGGCCATCACCCTTACACCTTAGGGGTCATTAGGCAGAGCGTGTTAAAGCCATTGCTTTCATGTACCAAAGAAAGCCAAGAGCAAGACTTGGAGAAAAGTGTGTTGTCTTTGAGAAAGAGTCTTACTATGTGGCATTATCCTGCCTGGAACTCACAGAGATCCACCTGCCTCTGAGTCCTGAGTACCACCATGCTCAACCAACAAGTGTCATTTTTAAGATGTGGAAACTGTCAGTTTTCTTCAAGGCTAGCTCTGCACCAAGTCCCTTCCCAACACCCCGTGTCTGTCAGAGGCAGGAAGTGGCCAGCTACACTGTGGGGTTGGAGGGCTTGTATGCTCAGCCCTGGAAAAGCCACACGTGGCTTTCTCTGTGCTTGGCAGGAAGTCCTGTCAGAGCCATCTGCATGAATTTCCATTTCCAAAGTCATTAGCAGTAATAAACATCTAGATGTCCTGCAGATGGTTAGAACTGGCACCAAGAAAAACAATTTTGACAGTTTCCTTCTACTAATAGCACTACCTCCTAATTAATTGCTTCCACTTTAATGGAATAATTATAGAACAAAATTTAATGACAGGTGGTCACAGCTGAAAAATGTTCTGTCTTCCAGTACAACTCAGCATTCTGTCTTTATGCATACTTAGAACCACGCCACTTCTTTCAGTTAGTGTTTGGAGACAGTTCTTCTTACTTTGGTTTTTATTTCTGTTTGGTGCAGGAAGCCGACAGTATGAGCATGACCAGTGGAGACGATACTAGACATCTTGCAGGTAAATTCCTCACCAGCATCTTCAAATGAATCAGTAGATGCTTTGTCTTTACAGTTGAGAGCCAATATGTCACATGTGGCAGCTTCCCAACTGGGATCCACCAACTTAATTCAAGATGTGTTTGCTTCTTCCAGAAAGTGTGGGAAGAGGATGCAGGGCCCAGACTCCACACTCCTTCAGAGTAACGTCACCCAGTCTGACCAGCAAGGCGATGGCAACTGGAACCACACTTCAAAGGAAGGAAAAATTACCTTTCAGAGGTTTCTCCCACACGTATTGTAAAAAACACCCATTGGTTTGGTTCCAAAGGTTGCTCCTGACTCCATGACCCACAACACCATCACTGACATCACATATGCTCTCCTGATCTTAGCAGGACTCTAGATTGTGAAAATGTTTTCCCAAATCATTAGTCTTTGAAATCATGGAGTCTTAGTTACTTTTCTATTACTGTGAAAAGACACCATGACCAAGGCAACTTATAAAAGAAAGCATCTGATGTGGGGCTCAAGGTTCCAGAGGGTAGCAGAGTCCATGACCATCATGTCAGAGAGCATGGTGGCAGGCAGGCTAATGAACACTTACTAACTGGGAATAGCTCAGGGTTTTGAAACTTCAAAGCCCACCCCGTTGACACACCCCCTCCAGCGTAGCCACGCCTCCTCCAGCGTGGCCACTCCTAATCCTTTCCACCAACTGGAGACCAAGCATTCAAACATTAGCCTGTGCGGGTCATCCTCATTCAGTCCATGACACATGAAATCTAATAGCCATACAATCTGTTGGAAATTACTTTTTCGTTATAAATTCTAACAGAAGTCAATTGTCTACTTCTTTTCTTGATCCTCAGAAGTGTTTGGATAGAAAAAATAAACTAAACTCTTGCTTGCTTATGGGAAAGTTGGTTCTGCTTGGAGGAGAGATGGCTCAGCAGTTAAGAACAATGGCTGCTCCTCTAGAGGACCCAGGTATGGTTCCCGTCACCAACATGATAGCTCACAACTGTTTTTAACTCCAGTTCCAGGGGACCTAAAGTGTCTTCTGGCCTCTGTGGACTCCAGACACACAAGTGATGCACAGACATCCATGCAGGCAAAACAACCATTAAGATGAACTAAAAAAGTAAAATAAACTTTTTTAAAGGAGCACACTGGGTCAGGCTTAGAAGTAAGGTCCTCTTTAACCTTTGAGGTTATTACCTGTCTCCACTGGGGACATGAGAATAGCTGTGCCCAGGGCCCTTATGGCCATGCTGTGTCTCTGAGGACACTTAGTTCACTTGGGAGATGCAAGCACTCCTGACCCCTGAAGATGTGTCCTTCCATGCTGCTGTCTGTAAATTCTTAGTAAGCCTCTAAAAATGCTCATTTTCATCTTTACACTGACAGTTACCCAGATGACCCTGGCTCAAGTGTGCTGCACAGAGCTCTTGGGTTTCACCTTGAAATTCTTATATTTACCAGAAAGGTATATAGCTCCCACATGTGAACACATTTGTATTTGGTCAGCTCCTTTCTGCTCCTGAAGGACATCTGCATACTGTGTCTGCATACTGTGTCTTGTAGCTGCTATGACTTTAATGCCTGGATTTGGAACTGGCCTTTCTGATCCTCTAGTGAATGTTTTGTTTCCCTCTGATATTCACTTCCTGTCCTCCTCATGTGTGCTGCTTTGAAACATTGCTGCCTTTAGGTGTTCTGTTTCTCTGCTGTTTTCCTGTGTAACTTCAAGTTAAGTTTATGATCTCTTAGAAAGTATATTTCTATGAAAGCTGTTTTCCTTCACAGAATCTGTATTTTGACCTGTCAATAAAATATGAATGTCATTCACAAGCTTAAATGAGCCATTGTGTTGGTGGATATTTATCACATTTAAAATTCCAGTGTGCAGAGCTTTGACAATGAGAATATTGCTTATGTTGTGTTCCAGTCAAGTCTTGTAGAATTTCCACATATCGATCTAAAATGCTCATGATTGACTTCTTCCTTCCTCCCTCTCTCCTTCCCTCCCTCCCTCCCTCCCTCCCTCCCTTCCTTCCTTCATTCCTTCCTTCATTCCTTCCTTCCTTCCAAGACAAGGTCCTATTCTATTGCCTACACAGCCCTGGGAGTCCAAAGGCCTCAGTTATATCCTGCTATTGTACCAAACCTTCTTAGGTATGCCATATCTTTCTTTGTTCTTATAAAAAAAATGATGTTGAGCACAGAATCAGATAGTGTTCCTAAAGTAGGAAAAATCAACACATTTTCAGGAATCAAAAAATAAAAAAAAAAAAAAACCCAAATATCCTTTCTAAGGATATGAGTGTTCTCTAACAGAATGAGTGCTTCATTCCACAGAATGTGGGGACTGTGTGAAGCAGTGCTGGGCAGAGAAACAAGTGAAATGGGCAGGTGTTGCTAAGCAGTATCGAGCGATAAAAGCGTAAGGCAATAAGACAGCAGGGGTCACGACTCTGGATTAGTACGTGGGAAGTGATGGTGAAAAGTGAAGGCATGTTTTCTTTTCTTGCTTAGAAAACAATATTTTTATTATCTGTCAATATTTTTAGAACTATATGCTAAAATGTATGTAAAATGCGATATGAACTAGAAAAACGAGTAAAAAAGGAAAGCCACTTACACTCCTCATGCTGGAATCAATTCCAGAGTCCAGGTACCATGGAAAGAGAGAGAGTACAGCACGTGTGTTTTAGAAACCAGCAGGTCAGATACAACAAAAATAATGGCATACATGTGAGCAGTCAGTGCCTTTTGGTGTATATTCTTTTTGAACACGTGTACAGTTCATTGAACCTAACTATGAATTAGACCCATAACAACTCACCATTCTAAAATATTTTTTGAGGAAATGACTTGCAAATTTATTTTAGAAATACTAATAAAGGTACTACATTTAAAACTCATAGAAGGGAAGTGATGTCACAGAAGATAAATCAGGAAGCACCAGAAGTCCAGCTCAGTCGCAATCATACTTGCATAAATGTTGAAGCTGGCTGCCAAGGTAAGCTTGATTGATCCATTGTAGTTAATTTCCACTTATTTCAGTTGCTTGGCCAGTGACAGCCCCTTGTGCATTTCTGATTCAGGCTGCCAGAGCCAGGGAGCAGAACATCTTGCTCTCTGAATGGGGTGCTATGTAGCAACTGCTGCTTTTGTTTCCTGAGAAGCAGGCACAGAGGCTGGCTGTCGTGTGTCCACTCCCCTAGTTTATGTAATCCCAGGGGGGTTAAAGGAATACCACCTGTGGGTAAAGATTAATTAGGGGATGGAGAGATGTCTCAGCAGTGAAGAGCACTGGCTGCTCTTCCAGAGACCTAAGTTTATTTCCAACACCCACAGGGTGACTCACAACCACATCTCACAGCACACATGTGGTGTATACACATAAAGTAAAAATAACTACAAATTTTTACCATTTAGGGAGCCAGTCTTTCAGTGATCAGGACATTCAAAAGCAACCTAGTGTAAGGGTAAATTTAACAGTACAGCAAAATGGTCAGGACCCAGCAAGGAGTGGAGAAAACTCCAGGCTTTCATTCAGGTTGACTCACAGCACCAAGATACCCTTTACTCATCAAAAACAAACCCTGAGACTGATTTTCAGAGGTATAATTACATAAGACTCAACATTTTCAACTTCCAACAACAAAGTCACAAGCACGAATCAGGAAAACAAAGTATATTCAGAAGTCAGAGATAAACAAGTTATCCCAGAAGAAAGCAAGACATCAGAGTCATTGCACAAAACTTTAAATCTTAAAGATGCTCACAACTCTAAAGGAAGGCATGAACAACATCTGTTTATACATGTAGGAACCAAAAATGAGACTTGATATATAAAGGAACCAAAAAAGAAGTGTAATAACAGAAATGAAAAGTTCCCCAGAGGTGCTCTAGGGTGGATTTGAGAAGACATAGAGCAAATTTGAAAGTTATTAAGCCTTAAAAAATTAAAAGAATAGGGCTGAAGAGATGGCTCAATGGTTAAGAGCACTGGCTGCTCTTTCAGAGATCCTGAGTTCAATTCCCAGCAACCACATGGTGGCTCACAACCATCTTTAATGAGATCTGGTGCCCTCTTCTGGCCTGCAGGGACACATGCAGACCGAACACTGTATATATAATTAATAAATAAATCTTTTAAAAAATTAAAGAATAAAAGAAAACAAGGAGCCCATAGAAACCCTGTATTACTTTTCTGGTGCTGTAATAAAACACCATAACCAAGGAGACCCACAGAAGAGTTTGTTTAGGCTTATGGTTCCAGTGGGGTGAGTCCATGATGCAGAGTGGAGGCATGGAAGCCGGAACTGAAAGCCAAGGGCTCACGTACTTAACAGTAAGCACAAGCCGAGCAACCAGGAGTGGGGTGAGGCCTTGAGCTCTCAAAGCCCACCCACAGTGACAGTGACATACTTCTGTCAGCAAGGCCACATCTCCTAAGCCTCTCAAAGAGCATCCAAATGGGAACGAGTGTTCAAGTGTCTGAGATTTATTTATTTTTGTGTTTTACCTACATGTCTGTATGTCTGTGTACCACTTGCATGCCTGGTACCCACAGAGACCAGAAGAGGGCATCAGATCCCCTGAGAGTGGCGTTACAGTTTTGAACAGCCCTGTGGGTGCTGGGAATTGAACCTAGGTCCTCTGGGAAAGCAGGCAGTGCTCTTAACCACTGAACCATCTCTCCAGCATAAAATGAGTCTTAACAGGTTCAAAAGATATATGTGCAAAGTATCTTCTCCAATCACAATGATATAGAAACGAGCAACATAAGGAAAACTGGAAATTTCACAAAAATGTGGCAACACCCATGGTACTAAACAATCAGAAGCAGAGATGAATGAAAATTAGGAAATGCAGTAATAGCAGTGCTGAGGAAATGTATAGCCATGGAACCTACATTAAAAAGAAGAAAGCCAGGTGTGATGGCTCATGCCTATAATCACAATTTAGGAGTCTGAGACAGGAGAATTGCTGTGAATTAAAGGCCAACCTGGGCCATAAGCTTCAAAAACATTAACCCATACATACGCGCGCACACACACACACACACACACACACACACACACACACACACATATAATTAGTGAGGGGCTGAAGCAGAAGGATTGCAAGTTCAAGGACTGTCTGGCCTATGGAGGGAGTTCAGGACCAGCCCTGGGGAACTTAGTGAAACCATGTTTCAAAAAGTAGAAAGAGTGCTCAGTGGCAGAGTACTTACTTAGCTTGCACAGGGCCCTGAATTCTGGCCCCAATACTGGCAGTAGGGGTCTGTCTCAACTGACACAGAAAGTTTGTTCCTGCCATGCTTATCTCTGACACACCCCTGCCAAGTGACCAAGTTAAGCTTGTCTCTCTGGTCCCTCTTTTCACATGATCTGCATTGGGAAGAACTATTGAGTGCCTCTCAGTCTGCCTCCTGATAGCCTCTTCATGCGGGCTTTCTACTGTGTGTTGAGGAGCCGAAATCTGAAGGCATATTAACAAGTTATCAGCTAGAGCCCTGCTCAAGCAGCAGTCTACTATTGACACTCCTGCGGTGGGCAGGAGACCGTGAATATTGCCTGTGTATCCTGGCCAGTTTTATATGTCAACTTGACACAAGCTAGAGTCATCTGATAGGAGGAAACCTCGATTGAAAAAAATGCCTCTATAAAGTCAGACTGTAGGCAAGCTTGTAATTAATGATTGGTGTGGGTGGGGCCAACCCCTGGGCTGGTGGTCCTGGGTTCTATAAGAAAGCAGGCTGAGCATGCTGGGAGGAACAAGCCAGTGGACAGCAGTCCCCTCTGGCCTCTGCATCAGCTCCTGCCTCCAGGTGCCCATCTGCTTTGAGTCCTGCCTTGGTTTCCCTCAATGGACTGTGAGTCAGGATGTGTGTGCCGAATAAACCCTTCCCCCACGCAAGTTGCTTTCCGTCATGGTGTTTCATCACAGCAATAGTAACCCTAACTGATATACCAGGGTCACCAGAGAACAAGTCAGGTAGGTATTGGTTTCAAAAGAGCAGGGAATTCATGAATCCAGTCAGTGTTACACCAGGCCAGGGACAGAATGAAGTCATAGGGACTCTGCCCACTGAGCACCGTTGGGTCCAGGGACCAGCAGACACTGTAGTAATGGGCCTAGAGACAAAGGACTCAGCCTCTAGTGGCTGCAAAGCCCGTGCCCAATCCTTCACCCACCCTGCTGGATAAACAGAGACTCAGCCCAGTATCCAGTATCCAAAAAGCCAGCTGGCTGGCCGGTGGCTGTGGGAACCCAGAGATGTATCCTTGTGGGATTAACAGCACAGCCGCCAGTATGAGACAGCTGTGTAAAGGTGCGTGTACTGTTGATTCTTCACCAAGACCCCTTGAGTAAATCCCACGTTCGTGATGGTGGAGAGCAATATTTGACATCTCATTTGGCCATTGCGAAGGTTGATCCACCGCAGAGAATATCTGAGCCACAGGAAACTGAGATCACTGTGTCACACCAGCCAGAACTCAGGAAACATGAAAACACATTTTCAACTTCTAAGTTCTTGCCACCTCTCAGGACACCATTCTTTCTCCCTTGATCCCAGTCACAAAGGAAAGTGTAGTTTCTGCTGTAAACAGCCACATAAATTGGAAGCTGGAAATACAGACAGGCAAGGCAACAGCTGCTAAATGAGGCTGGGTGGCTCCTGTGGCTACCGACGTGGCCTCGGTTAGGCAAGACTGAAGCTGCGCTGCTGTGTTAGTAACCACACAGCAGCCCCCAGAACGCTAATTTCAGTCAGTGCCCTCTGACAATGCACCCCAATGAGCAGGGAGAGAAGGAAATGTCAGGTTATGTCCCAGGCCCACCTCCCGCCCACCCTCCATCTGTGCCTGTGTCAAGGCTCACGGGAACATATGCTGCCTGTTGCTCACTGACCATCTGTTCACAGGGCTGTGAAGTGTGCCCGTTACCTTGGAGATGGGACCCTCGATTGGCGCAATACCACAAACATTTGCTGCTCAGGTTCCACTTTTATCTGTGCTCTGGAATGGGGCTAGGGGAGGCAGAGGGGAAGGGGGCAGACTGGAGGGAAGTGTGAGCTAAGAGGCCAGGCAAAGGGGACCGGGCTGGAGGAGGGGCTGGTTCCAGGGTGGGCTGGGAAGGGCTTTCCTAGGCATCCCTGTTTGTTCTCCCCAGCACCCCACCCACTGCCCGGTCCCCACTCAGGCACAGCTGGGGGTGCAGGGCGGCTGGTGAATCCAAAGCAGGGATCTGCCTCTCTTTCCCAGGGTTTGTTGGGCCTGACTCCAGCACAGACTCCAGCTCAAAAGCTGGTGTCTGTGGAGCCTCAGCCTTCCATCCATCCCAGCTCAGACTCATGATAGGACATCTGTCCTCCCCCACGCTGTTGGAGCTGGTGTGAGGAGGAACAAACAGGCTGTTATTAACAACAATCAGTCCTGAGAAACATCTCTTGCTTAGTTTGGATGGTGGAGGCGGCTCTGCCATGGTCCCAGGGGGAGTTCCAGGTTTCTGGCAAGGGTCAGGAAATTGGAACCACATCTTTTAAACAAGCTGCCCTATTCACACTGCAGCCATCCCAGCATAGGATAGTCACCTTTGCATAAGGCCAGGGTCAGGAGGGGTTCTGTTCTTTTCTTATTAGAAATCTGGGGATTCAGAGTCACTAAGTCGTAAGTCTATTTTTTTTTCTGCCCTTGCACAGTCTGGTAGCAAACTTACATAACCACATGGAGGCCATTTGAAAAGGGAGCTATGACCACCGGGACCACACTGTAGTGCTTCATCACAATGGGCAAATGTGATGGCACCCCCGTCAGAAGGAAAGACTGGACAGCTGTGGTCTAATTGCCCAGCTTCCCACATTGGGACTACAGCCTGGTCCAAGACCTCTGCTTGGGGTCCCTGGGGCCTCTTTGTCACTGGCAAAGGAACAGTGTCTTCCATATGTTCTCAGGGAGCCAACATCCCTGTAAGTTTCCTTTTGGGACAAAGTCATATCGGAATGGCACCATCCCCCTCACACTCTTGAAGTCCTTCCAAAAATGCCCTGGCCAATATGCCTGTGGTGATCACAACTATTTTAAAAGCTTTTTTTGTGGCATTAGAAAGTGCCCAGACCTCAATCAGGGCCTGGGTCTGGGTCTCAAAGGCCACCTTACCAGGCTATCCGTCCCCAGTTTAGCAGGGGCCTGCCCTCTGTCCTACCTCCTAGTCTTCCAAGGCCAGAGGACTCCTTCTGACCTTAGCACCAGCCTTCATGTCCTCAGTACTCCCTCTTCCATGGCCAAATGTCTGTCCAGTGCCTTGCTAAGCCTGTGAGCACCTTGTTTTATAATATGCCAATCAACTTCCTTAGTCAATCACTTATCATTGCAAGTCTTGAACCTAACTACCATCATTTAAATAAAATTACAATATGATCTTTAAACAACTTCCAAAAAACAAACATGTTGGGCACAAAATGGATGTGAGAAGTAAGTCAAACTTGGAATTTTTACCAACTCCTACCTTACACATTATCATAACTGAGATTGAGACCCATTCTTCATCTCATTTATACTTTAATTCCCATAGGTGTCCACAAAAGGCCCATCTCCAAGGATAAGAACTTCAAAGTCATCCATGGCTATATAGTAAGTTTGAGGCCAGCCTGGGTTGCATGAGACCCTGTATCTAAAAAATAAATAGAGAAATACCTGCTTCTAAGCTGTCAGTAGAAGGAATGAGAAATGTCAGTTTTCATGTTGCTATTTTCTCTGACTCCACCCCTGATATTCCTGACACACACAAAAAGCCTCAAGTTTCCTTACAGAGCTAGCATAGCATTTCTACCTAAGAGTAAAAAGACAGCTTCTAAAACAGTATTTCTCAACCTGTGGGTTATGACCCCTTTGAATTCAAGTGACCCTTTCACAGGAGTTGCCCAAGGCCATCCTACATATCAGATATTTACAGTTCATAAAAGTAGCAAAATTATAGTTATGAAGTCACAACAAAAATAATTTTATGGTTGGGGTTCACCGCAACCTGAGGAACAGTATTAAAGGGTGGAAGCAGGGCAAGGTTGAGAACTGTTGCTCTAAATGCTGATGTCTCAATAGCCATGTAAAATCCTGTATAAGACCTTGGCAAACTGCATCTCATAGCTGAGAGCTGGGCGGCCTAAGGGTGAAGATGTGGTGATATATTGTCATAAAGGCTTGTAGATTTACCATTTAATAGAACAAACAAGAACAGCAGCATGACCATTTAGAGTTAGACACTGGCAAGCAGGTGAAATTCAGGGTCCTCCCATTCTCTCTTTTGATTACCATTACTGCTGATGAAGAGGAAGTACTGTGGGACCCCTGGTGTATGCTGTCATGTGAAGGAGACACTGGTGTGCGCTCATTGTGGGGGAAAAAAACAAGTCACAGACGAAGAAAGTGCAAAGGAGAAAGGAGAAAAAGTGAAGGTTACTATAGTGAGAAATCCACAGAGTCTGTTTAAAGGGCAAAGGATTTTATTAAGAAAAAACTCACTGTCTTAAGGGTCGCCAAGAGGCCATACCCAAAGTCATAGGCAGGTAGTGCAGTTATCTCCTGCATCTCTAGGGGCGGTGCTTCAAGGTCATAGACAGAACAGCTATCCACTACAGGTTTTTTGAAGATTATTTTACTATGTAACTGGATAATTCCAGGGAGGTAGCCAGACAAAACATGAGAGAATTGGCTGGGTATAAAATTAGAATAGAAAAGTCCGTAGTGTTCTGGCTCTGGAATGGAAGACCCATTGATCTTGAAAAAATAAGACTCTGAGAATAGATCTGGGAAGTGTTGAAGACCCAGATACTAACTTTCTCTGAAGTGCTATTTAAAACTATATGCTACTTGCAAACGAGTAACCTGAAAATACAGAATTTTCAAATTATATGAAAAAGATATTAAAAGTACTACAGGATTTTCCTGCAATGGTGTTGAGCTGATAATTTCCTAAAAATATGACAAAGCTTGTCTGAATTCAATTAAAATTAATTATAGGCAGATCAGAGATTGAAATATTAAGGATACAGTGGAGACAGGTAGCAACAAAGAGTACTAGAAAAGAACATGGAAAGAATATCGGTGTTCTCCTCTCCCTGTCTACCTCTCTGGCTCAGGATTTCAGATCCCAGGCTGTACACAAAGGTTTTTCTGAGTCAAGACCCAAGTAGGGAGCAGGCAGAAGGCATCCAAGATTAGGGTAGTTTAGAGGCTGGCTGAAGTTCTAATACAGCTCTTTAGCAAGTTTCTTGGCTTCTCTAAGACTTGGTTTCCTGTGGTAGGGAAGGGTTAACAGTAGAATTATGGCAGAGACCAACAAAACACGGGAAATATTCACACAGAGCCTAGGAGGAAAACCGGCTCTTTTTGAGTAGGGTCATTCATCACCTCTAAAGCGTGATACAGGTGGAAGTCAGTGAATGGCCATAAGGTCTTTCTGGAGAGAGGGAGAAAGAGAATGAGGGGGAGAGGGAGAGGGAGGGAGAGAGTCAGTGTGCATGTGCATGTGCATGTGTGGATGTGATGAGCCAAGGGCTGGTCACCAGAGAGCCTCTCACTGTCCCACACATGGCTTCAGAGTGCAACATGACCACTTCAACACTCCCCCTTCACGCATCTTTCTCAACAATGTGGGGTCCTGCCAACCTGCCTGGGAAGGGATAGGGTAAGTCTCATTAAACCTGTTCTCAGCACCTATGATGGTGTCTGTGGAACTAAGAACAGCTTTTTCATGGGGAGCAGCAGATTCTCCTGAATCCCATATTTTTATGCAGTCTGAGCATTCTGTGGACATCCCCTTTGAAACGTGCAGAACAAAGAACTTCCCAGAACTATCTGAGTTTTGTGAACATGGCATAAAAAATATTTGATCAGGTTTTAGACCACAGCAAAAGAAGACAGACATTTCCCTTGCAGACATGGTAGGTGCACATTGTTCCTGGGAAGGCAGCACTTGTGTCTCTCAGAGACAGGAGAAGCTCCAGAACACTGGCCACTCTGTCCATCCTCTGCCCTACCCCCTTCCCCAAAAAGCCACCAGGAGATGGACTATGTCAGGCTTGGCTGTCTGTGGGAGGCCTAACATCTAAGCCTCACATTTCTTGCAAGCACGGGAGCCAGTCTTGTGTCCCCCAGTTGCCAAATGTCTGAAGTGGAAGTGGATCTACCTCGAACCACATGGGCTCAAAGCCCCACTGTGGGTTGCTTTCTTGCTCATGCTGCCCTGTCACTAATTAGCACAGCCCCGTCGGAGGGTCAGCCAATGAACCAGTTTGCTCAGGGGCTGGGCATGTAGTAGCAATGCTGTCTGCCCACATTCTAAACAGGGTCTCATCACTAGTACTGTCTGGTCCTACTGTATAACAGGATGCAGCATCTCAGTCCTTCAGTAATATATCTCATATTAGTGGAGAACTAGCATCCGTTAGCATCTCCAACTCTGAGTGTCACACTTCACTCTTGAGAGATGACCCTGAGTTCGAGTCCATCTTCATATAGGAAAGACCAACATCCACTAACATATTTAGTCTCCAGGTTCTTGGTCCTGTTTGAAGCAAAGCACTGAAGTACAGGGACCAAGATATAGTTGTGCCATGCACAAAGTGCTCATAGGGGAATGAGAGTTGCAGGCTTCAGGAAAGTCAGGTATGTTTGTCCTTAAATTTGGGCTATAAAGGGTCCACTCCTAATGTATCCTGCTCTCCTGGGTTCTGGCCCAGGCTGGGTGGAGGATAGCAGTTCCTGTTGGAGCCTAGGGATTCCGAGTTAAGCGAAAAGCTCAGGAGAGGCCCCTAATCTACCCATCCAAGTACCCCAGCATCAGTGTGGTAGAAGGATCTGCTGTGATAAATTCCCTCCCTGCTGAGCCTCACTCAGTATAGTTGATAGCCCAGCTTTTCTGTGCAGGCTTGAGACAGCACAACGTGGCAAGCAGAAATCTGTGGTTCCTGCCATTCTGCTCTGTGCTCAGCGTTTCTCTGTCTGTTGATGCCTCATTTGCTTCTAAAAACTCAGGAATAGAAGAAGACTAGTGACATCCTGTTCCAGAACTATCATTCTTATGTGGTAGATAAAGGTAGCTCAATCTGTCTCCTCCAGAACCCTAACTTCAGGTCTGTGTCTCTCCAGGGGCTGCAGCAGTCAGAATTGCTGCACTGGCCCTCCCTCCTACCTGGCTCAGGGTCCATCTTGGCACACACAGCTGCATTATTGCTTTCTAACTCATCCTCATATTGCCTGAACCCAGGAGCTTCTTCTGAAGGTCGTGACCCCTCCTCAGAAGCAAAACTTAGAAATAATTGTCATGGGATCCACTAAGAATACTGTAAAAAGCTTCCAAGAATGAGAGTCCCACACAGTACCCTGAAATCACATAGGGTGCACCCACTATATCCCCCCCAATGTCACCTGTGGGTTGGGTCCTCACTGTACCCATTGTGCCATACCCACCCACTAGGAATTCAGCAGTGTAAATAAAAAGCAAAAAACCAACCAAACAAAAAACAAGTATGGTGCCTAGCAGTTAAAATTTGAAGTTTAGTTAAAGAAAAAAATCTTCAATGTACATATCTAAATACAGTATCTGAAACATATTTGCCCTAAAAATTTTTTTGTTGCTTATCTAAAATTCAGACTTAGCTGGACATTGGTGGGTGTTTTGCTGGTCCTGTCCTTCCCAGAGCCTGTGGCTGGCCTTTAGGAGCAGAGGTCCCCTCTAACCCGACCATCTTTACCCCTCTCTCCCCTCCAGCCTTTTCTGTCTTATCCTTTTGAAATTCTCATTTCCCAATAATGATGCTTCTTCCTGCTATCAGAAGCACTCATGGTAGACATGAGTGCAGGACAGTAGCCAGGGCCCAGATTAGGCATGTAACTGGGTCTGTATACTATGGGTATCAGTCATTTCTCAAGTGTTTTTCAGAAAAGAAGCAGGTTGGGTGAAGACCTTCAGGGCCAGGAAGTAATGTTCCCTATTAGTGGCTGTGAGCAAGCCAAAACTGCTGGCTGTGGCAAGCGTACAGAGACAGGATCTACACAGACACAGCTGGGACATTGTCCTTATCCCATAATGTGGTGATACATTGTGTACCCTAATAAACTTGTCTGGGGAATCAAAGGACAGAGCCAGCTACTATTAGACATAGAGGTCAGGCAGTGGTGGCACACACCCTTAATCCTATCACTCGGAAGGCAGAGATCCTTCTGGAGCTCTGTGAGTTCAAGGCCACACTGGAAACAGAGCCAGGCAGTGGTGGCACATGCCTTTAATTCCAGTACTGGGAAGTACAGCATGCCTTTAATCCCAGGAAGTGATGTCTGGGCAGAGAAAGGTATATAAGGTGTGAGAAAACAGGAACTCACTCTCTTGAGGCTGAAGATTTCGCAGAGGTAAGAACTAGTGTCTGGCTGCTCTGCTTCTCTGATCTTTCAGCTTTCACCCTGATATCTGGCTCTGTCAAACAACACACACCATCCTTGATTTGAAGGCCACCAGAGAAGTTTTTTCTTCTTAATGCAAGTGGCCGTGGTAGCAAGCGTGGAGGTTGCGCTCCACGGTGTTGCCCACAGCAGCCTGCAGAGTTCTGTTAATCTCTCAGGAACTTAGACTCAGATAAAACTAGACCCAATGCTTCACTGCAGAAAAGAATCTCAAAACAAGCTCCATGAAACAATAATCCTTCATTATAGTGATCACAGTCATGTGCATACCATCTTTCCTAAGTTTTATCTTTCATAACTCTCTTTTTTTGTTGTTATTTATGTAGCTCTTCTGTAACATGCTTAAGCTTTCAGGGTTTCTCTGTGTAGTTTTGGTGCCTGTCCTGGATCTTGCTCTGTAGACCAGGCTGGCCTCGAACTCACAGAGATCTGCCTGGCTCTGCCTCCCTAGTGCTGGGACTAAAGGCACATGACACTGCCACCCAGCATCCTCATTTCTTTTTATTCCCATTTTAGGACAAAATTGTCATCTAAAATCTTCTTTCTAAATATAAAAGCATTCTCTTTAACCTTTTTTACTAAAACATCTCATTTTTATAACTGAATATTTCTTTTCCCTATTTGGTGACAATTTTTCTTAGAAAATTTAGAAATTATTTTCCTTTTAAAGATTTTTTTATTGCTTTTACATTTGTGTGTGTGTGTGTGTGTGTGTGTGTGTGTGTGCGCGCGTGCGCGCGTGCATGTGTATATTTCTTGCATATCACAGTGTGCATGTGGAGGTGAGGGACAACTTTTGAGAGTTGTCTCTCTCCTTCCTCATCTAAATTCTGGAAATTGAATTTAAATTATCAGGCTTAGTGTCATGTGTCTTACCTGTACTCAGCCATTTTACCACCCAAAATAAATGTAATCATAACAAAACGATGATATTGCACTGTACACTGAGGTTCTTCCTTTTGCCGTGACTTAGACAAAAATCCTATTAGAGCTGTTTGCTCTGAGTGTTTCTGCCATAGCCTGGGGTGTCGTCAGTCACCTGAGTTCCTTGTGACTTCTAACACTAAGGAACCTTGGCACAATGGGGCACATGACCATTTAGCCTGTTATATCAGGATCTTAACCTGCTCTAAAGCCTCTTACCTTTTATTTCAATCCTACATGGCATCCCTGTTTATCGAGTTTTACAGAGGATTGGCAGGTTGTAGTATGAAAATCCACCCACTAAATACCTCAGGATCCCCAGAAGTATCTGAAGCTCTTTTATATTTATGGGCATAGTCTGTTGTAGAATATTTTCAGTAACTTTGTCAAGTGTCATACATGTTTTACCAGACCATAAAACTCCCAAGAATTTTACAGCTGTGTTTGGCTCTTGAAACTTGTGTGGACTGATCTCCCATCCCTATTCCTTTTGGTATACTTGTGTGTCTTTTAGATGCTTTTTATATCTATAAAACCATGCAGCGGTTAATATTATGTTACCTATGCAATGAAACCTTTCCACAGAGGGTTATAAGGAAATGAAGCAAGATCTCAGGCCACTATCCTCTGACAAATAGTGGGACAGTGAAGGTAACTGTAGGGTAGCACTCTGAAGATCCATTATTGGCTATTTCAAGTGAATGAAAATTGGTCTTGATATACAGCAGCTCAGGGAATACTAAAGAAAAATGTGCTATCAGAGTCTAGTCAAGCATGGAAAGATGCCCCCTCTCCATTACTTGGAGCTGTGGTTCAGTCAAAAGAACAATATCAGGCACAGTGCAGTGGATGGTAGAACTACCCTATTGAGCTCTCTGTAATCCATGATTATTCTCCAAGAGCTTGGCTTCTTCACAAACCATACTAGGATTTTGAAAGGGCCTTTGCCTGGGCAAATGATCTCTACCTTTTCTAGCTCTTCAATGATTTGATCACATCTTCCAGGCAGTCTCTACTGTTTGATACTTACCACCCTACTCAGGGCAGGAGATTTTACAGGCTACCATCTTGTTCAACCACTACCTTTACAGTTCAAGCCCTCTGGAAGAAAAAAACTCCCCTCAAAAACATTCAGGGTGTACTCTAGCAATGCATTCACTCCCAGAATTCTCTTTTGCAATGGAAAAATGAACACTGTATACTTCATGGTGGGAGAAATGTCCACCCATAAGACAAGCTTGTTCATTTTTACCTTTACTGTTTTATCCCCGCATTCATCCACAGCTGCCAATTGCTCCAAGTGCTTTTTGGATCCAGTATCCACCAAAACCTAAGTAATTTGAACATTAATAGCAGACCGATTCTTTCATAATTCTAATGGAGGGCAACAACTTCCAGGGGCTTAATTGAGGGTTGGTGGGACTGGAGAGAAGGAATCTGATTCTATCAGGGCCTTGCCACCCTGGACCAGGCAGTAATGTAGATTTGGGGAGTAGGAGGTACCTGGGACCCTTTTAAGGAAGATTTTTGTGGCTCTAGTAAAAACTGATGAAGGCTTGGGCCAAGTGTGATGCTTGGTCGGCAGCCCAAGGTCGGCTGGGTGTCCACAGGCAGAGGAAGTTGGCAGGCAAGCGGCCTCTCGGATCTGGAAGGCAAGGCCTTCTTTCCATCGTCTCATGTTGAAGTAAATTCTGGATCTGCTAGACCTTCTTAAGCAGTGGTGACTTGGGGCCTGTGTCTATTATAGAGCCAAAGTTACCCTTGAGATGGGAGCATGTAGATTTTAAAGGAAATATCTGTTGTAAGTGTGAAGGGCTGTGTAGGATCTGTGTCCTGGATATACCTCATGGCCTTTCAATCTAAATAGAGAGCATGCACTGCCTAGTCTTAGGACTTCTTCCAGGAGCTTATAGTTGCTTGAGGTCTTCACTGACAATAACCCAGTAGGGTGTGATAGGCAGGGCTAGAAGGCTACATGTGTTAGAGTTCCCACTCTTCAGACAGACCAGAGAGCACATTGCCCAGAGAGAGGCCTGCATTTGTAATGGGCAGAGCTATTTGGGAGTTGTTTTGTGGGGGGATAAACATAGGGGAGTGGTATTAAGATGAGCCCATGGAGCAAGTGCTTGCCTGAAATGTTCTTTGCAGACACTGTATTGCTCTGATAGAACACACTTCTTGATACAGGAAGCAGGATTCATTCTCCACCCCCCTCCACTGCCCACCCTGCCACCCCCACCACCCCCTCCACCCTCCATCCCCACCACCCCCACCACCTCCTCCACCCCACCACCCCCCTCCACCCCGCCACCCTTGTACTTCAAATGTCATCTGCAGAAGGACTAAGACCAGCAACAGCCACATGGGTCAGAAGAGCCTTCCCTGGCTTCCAGGATACTCAGTCCCAGTGAGATGTCCAACAACCCACTGTCTGGTTTGTGTGCTTCAAAGAAAGCCAGAATTCTGTCTTCCCAGGCCTGCCAAATAGGGGTATGAAGTGATAATAAACACTGAAAGTTCTCAGACATTTGCAGGGGAATCTAAAGCAAGCCTGCAGGAGTGAGACATTTCTGCAGGAAGCAGTGCATTTTGAAGCATCTCAAGAGCTCTTGCTCATGCCTGACCTCTCCTGGACAGAGCTCATAGATTTCCCTGCCCAGCTCTTCCAAGAGCAGTCCCAGGGACCCACCTGAACTTCAAGCTCCTTTGTGAATTCAAGGGCTTGATAAAATTAAACCATTCACACTTGCCTGAGAAGATGAGATGCACCACCTCCTTCCTTCCCCTCTGCTTACAGATGGCCCTGTGGACGAGATCAAAAGCGAGCCCTGCTCTCACACGGTCTTAAGGAACTCACAAATGCCCAGGTGTGGAGAGTTGTATGGCTGAGACAGCCGGGAAAAGAGGTAAGGAAGGGAGAAGGGCTGGATAGCCGCCAGCAGGTGGGTAACAAGATGAAATATATGAGCTCCTTCCCACCTTAGAAGATGGTTTGGGGAGGGCTGATTTCCAGGAATCCTGTATCCCACACGCCCTGGTCCCACAGTGCTCCTCACTTCATCTCTTCCCAGCCGCAGCCCTAGCAGAGCCTGCAGCTGGGGCTGGGATGCAGAGCTTCCTTAACAGAGAAAGCAAGGACAATGAGTAGAGAGAAGGATGTAGTAGGAAGTCACAGTGTGAAAAACTTAATTCAGGGGCTGGGGTGGAGAGCATGGATTTCCTCAGACAACCAATTTTCCTGAACTTTTCTCACTGAGTTGTATTTGTTTAAAAAAAAAAAAAAAAAAGCAAGCAGGTAGGGCAGCTGTTTTCGTAAGCAGCTGTGAGATGAAAGTGTATTCAGTGACTAATCCCTGAAATGGTCCAGAGGCCAGCAGCAGGTACCTGGCTCCCGGGATCTGTCACTGCTCCCTCTGACAACTTTTCTCACTGAGTAAATGATCTGATTCACGACAGACTGAATCCTGTGGTTTATTCACTGTCATCAAATAATTTACCTGAAACTTTTCAAATGATGTATTGCTAGTTATTCCTACTAATGTGGAATGCTATTTTAAAGTAGTCATTCCAAGTAACTCTGTCTTTGTTCCATCTACAACTCTTTGGCTTGGTTGTGAAAACTTCTGCCCTGCCTTTTAAATGATTTTTCTCGAACAAGAAGCTTTCAGATAACTCTCAAGTTACCAAGGCCTGGAGCCCACATCCTATGAGCAATGCTAATAGGCCAGGAGTCAGGTTCTCTGATAGGCAGATGGGGAGAGGGACCATAACTATGTAATAAAGAAGGTGAACTTCCAAAATGGCCGGCTGCTTCTTCACCCTCCTGACCTGAGACAAAGGCCTGTAGGGTCCCCTGTCTGTGAACCAGCCCAAGATTAGTGTCTGGTAGATGGGAAAGTGACCTCTCTTTCCATAAGCATACAGCAAGAAGGGACCAAGAGAACATAAAAGCAGCTCAGAGGGAACTTCAGCTAGATCAGACTATGATGAAACTCTCATTTTAGACCTCCAGCCTCTGTGTCTGGGAGAGGATGAATTCCTGTTGTTTCAGCTGTCCAGCTATGGCATCTTGCTATGGCAGCTTCACTTTTCCAGTCTACTTACTAGATGGAAACCACACAAAAAAGGTCCCAAAGCCGCTACCAGCTGATCCTGAGTAACAACACAAAACAGAACCTATAGTGCCACACAATCCACCCATTGGTTCCCTCGTAGAGCCATAAATACAAGAAAGAAAATTCATGGAATAACACACAGCAAGGACTCACTGTAGTTGCTGATGTCTGATGACACACATTTATGTACTTCAGTGGCTTTATATTAGTTTAGTGGTGTGCAGACTGACATAGGAACTCTGAGTCTGGTAGAATCCATTTTGGTTTAACTCTCTCTGGTGGACTAGTTTAGAAAACAGTAAGACTGCCGGGCAGTGGTGTCGCACACCTTTAATCCCAGCACTCAGGAAGCAGAACCAGGTAGATCTCTGTGAGTTCGAGGCCAGCCTGGTCTACAGAGTGAGATCCAGGACAGGTACCAAAACTACACAGAGAAACCCTGTCTCGGGGAAAAAAAAAAAAAGAAAGAGAGAGAGAAAGAAAGGGAGAAAGAAAACAGTAAGACCCACTTGCTTGACAAAGGCCAGGCTCCAGCTCAGAATTGTGATTTGAGCTGCTGGGTCTCTGGCTGTGTCTTTGATGTCATTAAACTGCTGTTGATCACCATGTGGGTAAAATTCCTCCTCGGGGACACTTGCTGGGTCGAAGGTGAGGTGAGTGCAGGTCACTTATCAGTTCCAGGCAAGACCTACTGTGCATCTGTGTAGCCATGATCTTGTCCCTTCCAGATAGAGGGCCTGTGAGTAGAGTTCTTCCTGATGTGGGAAGCCATGCATTCCTGCTCAGAGCACTTGTGTTTACTATCATGGACAGCAATGAACGTCTAGTGCAGCCATCTAAAAGCAAGGCATGAAAGAATGAGTTTCAGGGTCCCTTAACTTAGTTTAAAGGGTAATAAATTGCAAACTTATCTCAAAAGAGTGCTATGAAAACTGTAAGAGATCATGTGCACAGAGCAGACTTTCCAACATGTGAATCTACCACATTGTGCCCACAAGCACCACAGTGGTGGGTCAGTCACCACTGCCCTCCAGGAATAAAGGGATCCAGGTTCTGGAGAAAGTCTTGCAGCCCTTTCCCATTTCTTGAAGGAGCCTTGGGCTGCCATTCAGCTTGGTGCTAGGTTCAGTTGGCCCAGGCCTTATTTCAACCCTCCTTCTTGACTGTTGACTATACTGGCTACACTGACCTTCTAGTCTGTTTATGACAGTAAGGGTGTATCACCCACAAAGGAGTGATGGAAACCTCAGAGGGGACAAGGTAGACTATAGTGTCCAGGACAATGGAGCTAGCCTTGGAACTCATGGGACCCTCCAATCTAGAGTTGTAAACCTGGGCAACATCCCCAGCCCTATGCTAGCCCTAGACCATTGTAGCTGCTTTGCTTTTGCACTTTGGGAAAGACAGGAAGGCAAGGATACTAGTGGAGGGTGTGAACCCAGAGGGTGTGAATGTAATATATCTTGGATTTGTTTGGAAGCATTTCATCCTACTTACCTGTCTTGAGGCACCTCTCCATGTGTACCCCTAAGCTCTCCATTGGAGTCCAGCTTCAGTTATGGCCTCTTCTTCCAGTAGAATCAGAACATCTACTGAGTGTCAATCAAAACCACAAACCACAGACCCCTGGCTTACACTTGCAGTATCTGTCAGCTTCCTGACTTTTGGGGTACAGCCTGAGGCCTTATTCCTTCCCTTCCTACCAAGCTTCCTATAGAAAGTAGACCTCAGCTGCCCATACAGAGGACACATGCACTGTTGGAGGGTGTAGTAATTTGAATAAGAATGCCCCCATAGGCTCATATATTTGAATGCTTAGTTATAAGGAAATGGCACTATTTAAAAGGATTAGGAGCTGTGGCCTTGCTGGAGGAAATGTGTCACTAGAGATGAGCTTTGAGGTTTCAAAAGCTCAAGCCAGAGCCAGTGTCTCTCTTCCTGATGCTTGCAGATCTGGGTGTAGAACTCTCAGCCACTTCTCCAGCACCATGTCTGCCTGAGTAAGACTGTACTTCCTGCCATGATGATAATGGACTAAACCTCTGAAACTGTAAGTAAGCCCCAAGGAAATGCTTTCTTTTATAAGAATTGCCATGATCATGGTGTCTCTTCACAACAACAGAACACTAAGACAGAAATTGGTACCAGAGGGTGGAGTATTGCTGTGACAGGCCTGATGGTGCTGCTTGTTGGCAGAATGTGCACTTTGGAACTTTGGATTAGGAAAACAGTTGAATGCTTTCAGCAGGGCTTAATGGGCCATACTAGAAGGAGCATGGAAGACAGTGGTGCTTAGAGCAATGTAAATAATGACAGCCCAGCTCAGGAGTTTTCAGAGGAGAGGAATATTAGTAAGTGGCCTAGAGACCATTCTCGTGATATTTTGGTGAAGAATGTGCTTTCTGCCCTTGCCCAAAATATCTGCCTGAGGGTAAATTGAAGAGTTTTGGATTAATAGCATTGGCAGAGGAGATTTCAAGACAGCTTAGTATTGACTCTGTCATATGGTTACTAGTGGTCACTCTTATGAAGATCTATACTGAAAAGGAGAAAGCTGAGCAAGGAAAAATATAAGTTGTATAGTTTGAGGAGAATAGGAGCACCAGGAAGTGTAATAGAGCTAAGTCCTGTATTCAAGGAGATAAACAGATTAAAGACAAGCCTGATGCTAAATGTAAAGGTGACCTCAGAGCAGAATTTCACCCAGCTAAGCTTCCAATTTGTGGAAGGAATTAAAGAAAAGCTTAAGTAGTGAAGGAAACCATAGAAAACAGAAGGCCAATGCACAAATAATTGAATGAGGGGTCCAGGTTTCAGTCCCATCAAGCAGAATAACTTGGCAACTTTGACCATGTGGTTCTTGCTTTAGAGTCAAGGATACAAGAAAGGGGTTATGGAATCTCCTTCCTCATCTAAGAAAAGCCACTGAGGTCAGGCATGTGTCAAGAGTGTTCCTGGATGGAGGCCCAGGGGGGCCATCGTGTGAAGCTGTGAAGGTGAAGCCTGGATTGTGTTGGAGACTCTAAGATGTTGGAGATGCCAGAGTCGTGGGATACCTGCCAAGAAGAGGTACTAACAGGGTGTGGAATCAGCCCAAGAGAGAGAAGTGTGCTGCAGTCAGCAAAGCTGAAAGGAGTTGGAGATCCAAAGAGTACTTTGACATCAGACAAGGAGATGCAGAATTTGTAGTTTGCTCTGTTGTTTTTAGTCTTTGGTCTAGTATTTCCTCACTATGCTCCCCTTCCTCCATTTTGGAATGGTAATGTGTATTCTATGCATTGTATGTTGGAAGTATGTGATCTGCCTTTTTGTTTTCTTTTTTTTGTCTTGTTTTGTTTTTTTAAAACAGGGGATTACAGTTAAGAGGCTGCCATGAGTCTCAGAAGAGACTTTGGACTTTATAACAATGTTGAGACTGTTAATAAACTATGGGGACTTTTGAAGTTGGCCTGAATGAATTTTTGCATTATGAATAGGAACAACCCCCATAGACTCACATATTTGAATGCTTAGTCTTTAGGGACTGGCTCTATTTGAGAGGGATTAGGAGGTGTGGCCTTGTTGGAGAAGATGTGCCCTTGTTGGAAGAAGTATGTCACTGGGGAGTGGGCTTTCAGTTTCCAAAACTCAAACCAGGTCCAGTGTCCCCTCTTCCTGCTGCCTGCAGACCCAGATGTAGAGCTCTTAGTTTCTTCTCCAGCACCATGTCTGCCTGTATGTGGCCATACTTTCCAACATGATGATAACCTCTGAAACTGTAAGCAAACCCCAATTAAATGCTTTCTTTTCTAAGAGATACCTTGCCTTGGTCATGGTGTCTCTTCACAGCAATAGAACAGTGACTAAGACAGAGGGTATGGCACAGGACAGGTGACATGTCCCCTACTGCTCATTATAGCTCTTACTCTGAAGTCTTGTCTGCTGAACCCCAGGATCTTTGCTGTTCATCTCATTCTTGGGATGCACTCAGGCCCATGCTTTCAGCCCACAATTCCTCACCTGATATGGCTACTTTCCACCCATTAATCCACTAATCATGTCTTCATTCATGTATTAAATAAATAACCAGATATGTAGAGTGTAGCTGGAGAGTTTTCTCTCTGGGTCCCGCCAAGCCCCAGCAGTCCGACAGCCCACTTATAAAATAAACATACAGATGCTTATATTATTTAAACTGTTTGGCCTAATGGCTCAGGCTTCTAGCTATCTAGTCCTTACATCTTAAATTAATCCATTTCTATAAATCTATACTTTGCCACGTGGCTCATGGCTTACCGGCATCTTCACATGCTGCTTGTCATGGCAGCGGCTGGCAGTGTCTCCCTCCACCTTCCTGTTCTCTCAATTCTCCTCTCTGTTAGTCTCACCTATACTTCCTGCCTGGCCACTGGCCAATCAGTGTTTTATTTATTGACCAATCAGAGCAACACATTTGACATACAGACCATCCCACAGCAGTAGAGTCCTTTGTACACTGGGAAAGAATGCTGTGAGGTACCTACCAGAGAAGACCACAGTTTGGCATCCTGTTTGGCATTTTCACTTTTTGTCCACTTGGTTTGTGTATAGGTTGAGCGTTGGGGCAATTCAAGTTCTGGAGAGGCTTCACCAGTTCTAGGTCTACCTTCTGGGTGGCCAAGTCTGCTGCCCTATTCCCTTGGGTCTCTGAGGATTTCCCTTTTTGCTACCCTTTGCAGTAGACAATGGCTTCCTCTCTTGGCAGCCACATGGGCTCTAGGAGAGCATGATGGACATGTACCATGGCAAATGCATACACCTGTGTACAAAGTGAAGGCTTTGCCCTTTCCCCAGTGAAATGCCTGAGTTAACCCCAGAAGCTCAGCCCTTTGTGCTCGAGTCCCTCAGCTGAGGGACTGGGCACACACCATCCTGTCCAAGGTGACAACTGAGGCCCCAGCATTCCTGATTTCACCTTGAACAAAACTGCTCCCATACAGTTCCTCTTCAGGTCTAACAGATTGGAACGCGTCACTTTCAGGAAATTTGGACAGACTCTACTGGAGGTGGAGCCTGGAGCAGAGGCCAGAGGCTCCTGGCCCACGAGCCCCAGAGAGAGGAGTGGAGGTGCAGCAGCCTCTGCCACAGGGGAATCAGCAGCCAGGACCAGAGCCCTGCCTGAGGTGGGAGCTGAAGCTGCTGTAGTCCATCTTTTATTGCAGCTATAAGAGCTTCTGCATTGCCAGTCCTGCAGACTGGAGCTGGAGTGGGCAGACCAGGACACCAGGACTGCATCTCCCTTCATGGTGGTGGGTTCCAGGGGACCTCATCAGCATCCAAGGCAATGTCACATACCTTGCTGTGCCCCAAATCTGGTCAATGGAGTCTGATGATCCTAACTTGACTGCTGTCTTGTAGCTCTGCTGGGTTACTGTCTGGCAGTATGCTGACTGGGCTGATGGCTGAGGTTTTACAAGAATTGGAAATGGGGCTGGTCCAGGAGAAGTGCCTGATAATGAATTATTTGGGCATTGTACATCTACCTTAGGTCCACCTTAGGAAGGCCTGTACAGAGTATGGGGTGATTAGTTTCCTGCCTATCTTAGTTAGGGTTTCTATTGCTGTGATGACAAACTACAACCAAAGCAACTTAGGGAGGAAAGGGTTATTTGTCTTACACTTCCACATCACTGTTCATCACTGAAGGAAGTCAGGACAGGAACTCAAACAGGACAGGAACCTGGAGGCAGGAGCTAATGCAGAGGTCACAGAGGGGAGCTGCTGACTGCCTTCTCCTCATGGCTTTCTCAGCCTCATTTTTTAAAAATAGAAACCAGGACCTCCAGCCCAGTAATGGCACCACCCACAATGGACTGGGCCCTCCCCTATCAATCACAAATTTAGAAAATGTCTTACGGACTTGCCTACAGCCCAGTCTTATGAATGTATTTTCTTAATTGAGGTTCCCTCTGATGACTTCAGCCTGTGTCAAGTTGATCTGGCCAACACACTGCCCAAAGTCAGTTTGTCCAACTCAGTTCTACTATACTATAGTATAGCCCAGGCTGGCCTGCAGTTCTGTAGTATATTTAAAAGCTTGTAGTATAGCCCAGTTCCCAACCAAAAAAGAACACCAATTCGAAGTCCCTCCCTACTACTTCCTGTGTGTTTTTCTATCCTTTTTCTAGACTCCATCTAACTGTCTATGGCTACTTCCTGTCAACTAGTTGCTGGCTCCACCTCCTGACCCAAGGTTTTATTCACAGTGTGATCCAATATTCCACAACATCTTGCTATAGCCCAGGCTGGCCTCAGATTCATGGGGATACTTTTGCTTCAGTCTCCTGAGTGATAGGATTATGGGTGTGAGTTGTCAAGTCCAACTTAATTATTTAAACAAATAATTAATAAGCAACGACAGTAGCCATGAAGTTGGAGGCAGTGCAGGGTGCTTGGGGCCCTGGCCTTCTAAGGACAGCATCATAGAGTAGACACGGAACCAGGGGGTCAAGACAGAAGCAGAAGGAAGAGCAAGGGAGATGTCAAGGCTTCATAAAGAGGCACTGTGACACCAGCATTTGAAAGTGACTCTGAGTTCCAGGCAGAATGGATGGTGAGCTGCCACCTCTCCAGAGGGCTGCAATAGTGTGTGAAACTTCATAGAACAACTGATTCACAAAAAAAAAACTACTGTATGTTGGCTTCAAGAAAGCCTTTCCCATATTTTCCTTTGTCACAGACAGGGAGCCAAATGAACTCCTGCAGGTAGGAGGTGATGGGCACCCAGTCCTGTGTGTATTAGATTCTAGATCATGCAGCCATAAACTGAGTATATTTCATCAACAATAAGTGATGGGGTCAGAAGAGTAGGAAAGAGGATGTGACCAGTCCTGGGTCATAAAAATCTAAGTTTAACAGTATCCATGACTCAGAGAAACATGGTACTCTAACAGTGTGGCAAAAGTGGACATCAGCGCCACTTCAGATCCTGGCTGTGGTGATCACAAGTCTGAAGAGAAGGTCCTAGCCAAGACAGCCAGCCACAGGGCTGAACACCAGTTTTCTCGGGTGTTACCTTTGCTCGTGTGTTCTAGCCTCATATCTTAACAACACCTGAGGCTCTTCCAGGCTCCTAAGCCCACCTGGTTGTGCTCCCTTAGCTTCATGTTCCAGGACAAGATGCTGGCTTGTGCAGCATGCTGACTCAGTGTGACATTTCTCAAGTCCTCTCCTTTTAAGGCCATCAGGGATCTGAGCCACAGGCAGGGAGCTAGCCATGCAGCAAGCATGCAGGAGTCACCACTACACATGGTCTGAATCTTAAGTTTCTAAAAAGGAACCTGGACCACCCTGAGTCTCCCAGAGATGCTCAAGTCACTTTGACTCTGCGGCACCAGGCAGGACCAGGTGCATATCGTGAAGCGGACTTTGTGAGCCTCAGCTGTGAGAGTTAAATGTGGCCTACAGCTGTCACTGGCTCGCTCCCGAAATAGGCTGCAGTAATAAAGATAACGGCAGAGGTGGTCAGGAGACTATGGGCAGCTCACCGCGACTCTTGTCCCTCAGAATAAAACCTGTGACTCGAGAGCTCACTAGCAGAGAGCACAGAAAACAGTGCCAAGCTGTAAAAGGAATCACATGACTGGGGGAACAGCTAGCAGGCCAAGGTTCTAGTTTCACTTCTGTTGCTGAGATAAAATACTCTGACAAAAGGCAACTTGTAAGAGAAAGGATTTATTTTAACTCATAATTCCAGGGCATAGTCCATCACCGAGGAGAGGTCGGGCAGCAGGAGGCTAAAGCACCTGGTCCATCACATCCAGAGTCAAGAGCGGAGACAGGGCCGACAAGCAAGCAGCTCAGCAGGTAAAGGCACTTAACTGCCAAGTCTCATGACCCTAATTCCACCGCTGGGACCGGCATCATAGAAGGAAAGAATCTAGTCCTACAAGTTTTCTGATTTCCACACAAACCCCCTGACCCATAAAAATAAATAAATAAATAAATAAACCTAAAGATTTTAAATTTTAAAGAGAACGGAGAGAAATGACTATGCACATACTGAAGGCAAAACTAGTTTTCCTTTACTCTTACACAGTCCAGTACCCCAAACCAAGGAATGGTGCTATCTACTTTCAGAATAGTTCTTCTCATATCAACTAAGGCAATCAAAATAATCCCTCACAGACACACTCAAAGATCAAACAGAGGAGCTACAATCCCTCACTAAGACTCTCTTCTATGATTCTAGGTTGTGTCCAGTTGACAGTTAAAACTAGCCATTCTTACCATAGAGATGGCTTAGAAGTCATGAGCCTACAAGTCTTGTTCCCAGCACACAAGTCCAGCGGTTTACGAGATGGCTTAGTAAGTAAAAGCACCAACTCGCCTGATGACCTGAGTTTGATGCCAGGATACACACGGTGGGAAGAGAGGGACAGCTCCCACAGGCTGCCTGCTGACCTCCACATGTGTCATGGCACAC